CTTCTTTTTTGCTAAACAAAAATACATGGTAGCAAGATCCTCGCGAAGGAGAAGATTGCAATCAGGAATTTCTTCCTCTCTCTCTCTTTTTTTTCAATTTAAAAATGTCTTCGTTTATTCCCAATTTTTCCCTTCAATTTAAGAATTGATTTATCAATTTTTTTTCTGATTGTAATACTTTTTAATTATGGAAATTGTTTGTATTAACCACTTTTAAGTAGAGTGAATTGGAAGAAAATATATTATTGTAATTAATAATACCTTGGGAAATTAAATATATTGGTAAATTTAAAAATTAAGAGTATAATCCAGTGATATTCCTTCCGCTTTCATAAAATTATTAAGATATTCTTTATATTTTTAAAATCTAGACCTTTGTTTTACCATTGGGAGTATTTCGTTAAATATTTTAAAATACTAATTTTTTTATTTTAATCATGTCAAAAAATTATAATTTTTAATTGTTATTTATAATTAAATTGTTTACTCCAAGAAATTTAAATAATTAAGTATCTAAATATTTAATTTGATATTTAAATTTATTATATTAGAATTAATGAAATATTAAAAAATAAACAGAAATTATATATATTAATTTAAATATGTGTTTGAATATTACTTTAATAAACCTATGTATTTAATTTCTTTAAAATATTATTAAATAAAAAATTTCACATTACTATTTTTTTAAAATATGAACAAAAAATTTAAAAAATATACTTGAACGAATTTTAGACATTTGTGTTTTAAAAGAGGTATTTTGGTTTAACATATATAACTTAATGGTTATCTAGCCGCTAGGTTGATGAAAGTGAAATCTCAAAATAAAATGAAAATTTGTATTATATGACTATTAATTTTAGGAGAAATTCATATAGATTTTAAAAATAAAAAATATCTATAATTGAAATAAGATAAAAGGATCACTGTTTCAAAAAAATAAAAGAATTAGTGTTTTTTTATATAAGCAAATTACTCCTTAAACTTTAGATTCAATAGTATTATAGACCTTGAACTTGTTTATTGTATAAAATATTTCTTTAATTTTTAAAAATATTATAATCTAACCTTTTTTATTAACAAAAATTAACTCTCGTCATTAGTTGATTAAAAAAAATCAGAAAAAATACATCAAAAATTATAAAAATGATCCAACAATTACAAAAAATACCTCAAATATTATAGAAAAGGGGCAAAAAAATTTATTTTTATGATTTTTGTGGTCCTTTTTCATAATTTTTTTGATCTTTTTTTGTCATTTTCTGTTGTTAATTATAAGGGCTAAATTGTATTGTTTTAAAATTTTAAAAATAATTTTCACAATAAATAAAATTAAGGTTTATAATATTTTTAAACCTAAAGTTTAGAGAATAATTTACAGATATAACCCCCTCCCCAAAATCACCCCTCTAGTTGGAATATAGAGTCAAGAGACGCGGTAAGAAGCAAAAATATTCCACGGGTGAAAAAAAAATTACAGAACCAATTTCAAAGATGAAAAGGCATAAGCAAAGAATTTAGAATTTTCTAAAATTTCTTTTTTGAATACTATTTCTAGTTTTATTTTGAAATTTCAAATCCATTTCAACACCAATCTAAGCTTTTATACCCACCGTTGAGCTTGTTCTTTTATTTGTTGTTTTTCCCCAACTCTTGACGCATCACAAAATCGGATTAGAATTTAAAGGTAGGGGTGCCTTTTTCTATTTCACTTCTATCTCTTGATTTTGATAATAAGTATTAACTAAAACAAAACATTTTAATAAGAAAAGGGCCCAGACAAGTTCAATTATTCACAATCAATAGATAACCAGGCAAGCGGTGACAAATTGTATCTTATATTTATATTTTACATTTTTGGAAAATTAATTATATAGAGCAAAAAATGGAAGTACTTAGATTGAATTTATAATACCATTTTACTGACATTCATGCTTGATTGTACTAAGAGCAAAAAAGAGAGAGAGAGAGAGAGACATCTCAACTAAAGTGACAATTTTTTCAAGTATAAATAGTACGCTGCTAATATCAAAAAATTGTCACATATACAATGATCGAAATTTGAGTTCCAATCACTTATTTTTAGTGATAAGAACCATACACAAGTGGCGGTTCCCCCCCCCCCCCTTTAAATGAGATTTTTATGAGTTGGACTTTATTGATGGGCTGAAGGCCAATGGGCCTTGGAAGCAGCGATAAGAACCATATACAAGTAACTTGTAAAATACGAACATGAAATGGAAGATTACAAACTAAAGTTAATTTAATTAATAAGAATTTAATTCATAATTCATAAATTTATAAAATCAAATTTCATTATCAATATAAAAATTTTGTCAATAAATAATCTATTAATATATCTATAAATGTTATTTGAACTTAAAGGTATGTCTTAACCCGGCAAGTTATAGGAATTAACTTAACTGAATTTTTCTTCAAACAAAAAAAAAAAAAGAAATCTAAAAGATCTAAAAAATCAATGGTAATACTAATAATAAATAATAACAAATGCCCTATTCATGGAGGATTCGTATATACTTTACCTCGCAAACATGGTACGAAACCTTTATGCCTTATTCCATACCACTTTTATTTTATTTTATTTTATTTTATTGTTTATAAATCTATAGCTAAGCAATATGCATTCTCATATTTATACTGACATGCATCCAAACACACACCGAAACACACAGATATTACACACACACACACACACTAATAGCCATTTGAAAGATCAATTCATTACTTGCATCACAAATATTGTATGAAGTCACAATTAATAAACTAGTGCCGCAAGATTAGTTAACTATTGCTGCCTAGCTGTTGGCGGACCCATGTATAGCTGTGAGTTATAGTAAATTTAAATATCTTTTTGCTAATGTTTATGTTCTTTTTGTACTTTTACAAATTACTTATTTCTTTTACTTATTTTTCGGGCAATTTCAATTCAATTTTCGTGTGATGTGGACAATTTTATATATTTTTTTATAAGATAAATGAGCAAATTATCTTTTAAACTTTAAGTCAAGTAACACCATAAATACTAAATTTATTTATTAAGTAAATTGTTTTTTCAACTTTTAAAAATGGTACAATCTACTCTTATCAATAACAAAAGTTAACTTTAAACGCAGTTGATCAAAAAATAATAGAAAATAATTTCAAAAATTATAAAACTTTTGGGATTTACGGTTTAGACTGTTAATTGACTAGAAAATAATTTAAATTTTTTTTTATAATTTTTATTGATGGTAGAGGGTTAGATTGTATGATTTTTAAAAATTAAAAGGAATAATTTATTCAATAAATGAGTTCAAAGTTTATGGTGTTACTGTACTTAAAATTTAGAGGTAATTTATTCGTTCACTTTTTTTTTTTATATAATCTACATGCAATCTTTATTTAAGTACACGAGATTGATATGAGTTTGAAAATATTATTTACTTTTGTAGAGTGGTAAATATATTATTAGTGAATTATAAGATTAAATTTTTAATGATTAGGATTTTATATTTTGCAAAATTATTATTAAGATGTGAAACTATAAAAAATAAATCAATTTAAACAGTAAAAGTTTGTTTTAAACAGTTTAGAACCGTAATTAAAAAATAAAAAATTATTTTATAAAGTATTAAATCCTAACCATTTAAAATTTTTTTTAACTGGGTTTTAAGAGAGTAAAAATTTTTATTCATTGTGCCGAATGGACAAATTTGATTGCCATGTTTGATGTGTCTCAGCATTCTTATAAGGATATCATTGAACTTGCTAGATTTTTGTTGAACATAGGGAAGGAACTGTTTCTCTAAATTTTATGCATAGGGAAACTGCTGTGATCATACTCTAGCCAGGAATGATCTTGACGGGGCAAGCATGTGTTTTTTAGCCTTTGATATGAAATGATAAGATCTCGTTGTGTGTGCTCATTAATTTTTTTTAAATCAAGGGAAAATGATATTTAAGACTCTCAATAAAATATACCACAATAAAGGTCTATAAGTTTGCATTTGATATTATCTTATAATTTATAAGTTAAAGTTCAGTTTTTAACAATAATATATATATATATATATATATTTGTAAGGCAATATTCGATATAAAATTGATGAAAAATTATTGTAATAAATTGTTTTGAGATAGCCATAAATGTCATTATTTCTTTTATTAATGTCACTCCCTTTTCATTCAAAAGAAAAGATTGGCCATAAGATACTTTTAATTTTCTCAATGAAATCAAGAAAATGCGGTTGAATTATTAACTAGGTTTGAAAATATAATAAATTTATAATTTTACCCTTATTCAGATAAAATTTTTTAAATTATATTACATTTTTTATAATTAATAAATTTAAATAGAGATAACTGAAAAATATAATTAATATTTTATTAAGTGACTTATATTAGGTATCAAAAATTTTTTTAAAAGACACTTTATAACAGGGTAGGGAGGTTGTAAATTATTATCAGTCTTGACCAAAAAGCTAGATGGATTTAGACATTTAGTAATTACTTACTTATCTTTTCTGTCTTTACAATTACAAGTCCGAGTTTGTGGATTTGTGCAACTTTTGGATGCCAAAAAGTTGTCTTCGATTTATTTTTTGAAAAAAAGAATTAAAAGTTATTTTATCTTTTAAGTTTATTCAAATGGTATCCTAAATTTAATTTAATTATGAATATATTTTGTCTTTTAATATTAAAGATACCTTTTTTCATTACTTAAATAGTAACTGATCATATTTTTAGTGAGCTCACACTGCATTTGTAAATATTTTTTATTATAAAATATTGAGTTAAAAATTATTTTTACCCCTTAACTTTATATCTAAAAATCAGTAAATATTTTAAACTTAAATATTTTATAATAAAAAATATTAAAAATATAATATAAGGTTCACTAAATAGGATAATAAAAGAGAGAATATTTTCATAATTTACCTATAGGTAAGCTTAAAATGTTAGTAGATCTTTGAGTAAAGTTGCAGGGGAAAAAATACAAACGAAAAAAATACTTGTCTCCTCAATGCCTGCAGCTCATTATCGCACACAAACTCCGAATCAACAACAAAGCTTATTCTTTTCTTCCAGCTTCAAACATCCACAAAGTTCTCAGCTTCCTTTTCACTCTCCTCCGCCACCTTCTTCTTCTTCTTCTTCTTCAGTCTTCACAACATAAATATCATCTTCCACCAGATGCTTCTGTTCCAATTCCGCATTACATCTGCTACTTCCAACCTTCCCGACGCTCCTCGCCCGAAGGTACAATGCACGGCGACAACACCCACGTACCCATCCACCACTCCCAGACCCCCACCGACCAATCCAAACCCATCCGCCGCCACCACACCGCCCGCTACTATGTGCAGCGCGTCCACGACAGTCTCAGCACGCGCATCTCCAAAGTCCTTTGCGGCATCTTCTTAAGCCTTCTTGCCATTGTAGGTCTTATCGCCTTCATCTTATGGCTCAGCCTACGCCCGCACCGACCCAGATTCCATATCCACGATTTCTCTGTTCCGGGTCTGGGTCAAGAATCCGGGTTCCAGAACGCCGAGATAAAGTTCTTCGTCACGGCCCGAAACTCCAACCAACATATGGTTATTAACTACGAGGCCATGGACGGGACGGTATATTACAGGGATCAGAATATCGGAACGACGCCGTTGCTGTTCCCGTTTTCTCAGGAGCCGAAGAATACGACGGAGGTGCACGGCGTATTGACTGGAGCAACGTTAACGGTGTCCAGCCAGCGTTGGGCGGAGTTCCTGAACGACAGGGCTCAAGGGAGTGTGGTGTTCCGTGTGGAGTTGACGTGCACGATTAAGTTTAAAATACACACGTGGCAAAGTAAGAGCCATCAGATGCACGCAAATTGTGATGTGGGTGTGGGCCCCGACGGTAGCATATTGAATGCGTACATAGATAAGAGATGTCCCGTCTACTTCTCTTGACACGTTCATGTGAGAGCATTTTCTTTTCTTTTCTTTTCTGTGAATTTTATATTTGGGTTTTCAATTTATTTGTAACTTTGTATGGATTTGAATTTTCAGTTCATTACTCATTAGTCTGTTGTATGATATTTGTTATAACTTATATGTCTTCACATATTGACTGAAATTTGACTGTATAATTACATAATGAAAGTGTTTAATTATCATCCGATGGTCGTGAAATATGATCAAGTCTGTTATTAATGCTATCCCTATTTTTTCTATGACTTGCTTTAAGTTCCCTAAACGAACTTGTATGGAATTGAACAGTTTAGTAGCAAACTTTTTTTGGGGGCAGTCTAGTGTTCATAAGAGTATTCATTGGAAATCTTGGGATAGACTATGTGCCCCAAAAGGTGAAGGTGGCTTGGGTTTTAGGGATTTTTTGAACTTTAATGATGCCCTACTCGCTTAAACAGCTTGGCGTCTATTGAGTAATCCCAATCATTTATGGGCTCAAGTCTTGAAATCGGTTTATTTTCCAAATAGCTCCTTTCTAGAGGCTAGTCGTGTTCCTAAAGCCTCATGGGCCTGGAGCAGTATTCTCACAGGTCGTGACTTCCTCTTAAAGGACTTATGCATACAGCTTGGTAATGGCAGAGATATTTGTGCTTGGACTGATCCATGGGTTCTAGGTTTACCTGAGTGCAAGGTTATTAAGAAGGAAAATGCTGTTGTAGACAAGACCCTCAAAGTGGCAGACCTAATTTCTAACGGTGCATGGAATCTGAATCATATTAACCATTTAATGACTGATAAATCCTCAGATTGCATCAAAAAATTGCATATACCATACACTCCTATATCGGATACCATAGTCTGGACCGGTTCTAAAACTGGGAATTATCTTCCTAAGCTTGGTTACAGATTGGAGTACTCAAGAGCCTACATTCCTCTCATCACCAATCCATCCACCTCTTCTAACTTCCCTAGCACCCTTTGGAAATCTATTTGGCATCTTTATATTCAACCTAAAATAAAACATTTCCTATGGCGTGCCCTTACTCGTTCTTTAGCCACTAGAGATGCTCTTTACTCCAGAAAATGTGCCTCTGACCCCCTGTGTCCTATCTGCAAGGTTGCTCCTGAAACTATAAAACACATGCTGTTGCTGTGTGAATGGGCCAAAAAAGTCTGGTATGGTTCTGCTCTGACTATCATTATTAACCCCCATGCAATTTCTTCCTTTGAGTTCTGGTGTTCAAAATTTTTTTTGGAAGAGCATCTTATGAAGGATTATGATAAAGCTTATATAGCTTGTCTCTGCTGGAATATTTGGAAAACCAGGTCTGCCTCAGTTTTCAGTGCTGGTGCAATTGATTCTTATAAGGTTCTACAGGCTACTCAAGCTGCAGTGCAAGAATTCTAGACCCTCAAGACAAAAGATACAGTATTGCATCCTACTCCCGCTGTAACTAATTCTAGATGGTCGCCCCCTGCACAAGATATCATAAAAATTAATTGTGATGGAGCTTTCTCCTCAGCCTCAGGTAAAGCTGCAATCGGCATCATCTGCAAATCCCACTCTGGAGATTTTCTTAAAGGCTGGAGTGAACATGTTCATGCTGATCCAAGCTTCATGACAGAATTATTAGCGTTTTCCAAGGCTATAAATATTGCTGATAACTTACCCGATTGTCATGTTATGGTGGAATTGGATTGTTTGGAATTGTTTAATGCGATTACAAGTCTTAATGCTTCAAGCTGTGCCTGGCCTTACCATGGGATTCTTATTGATTTTTTTGCTGCCTTAGGATCTCAGCCCTCTCTCTCTTTCTCGTTTGTGAAACGAGATGGAAATATTGTGGCCGACTGGATGGCTGCCTCCTCTTTAAAGGGTGTGATCTCAAGCGGTTGGCTTCTCCATCCCCCACTCCCTCTAATCAATATCATGCAACGAGATTCTTTGGCATATGGTGAGGAAATTCAGCAATTTGTGCACAATCAGGACAGAGAAGGCATTGGCTGATTGACTTTCTTTATTTTGTCTTGTTTAGGTCTTTGCCATGCTTTGGCTTATGACTTTTTATGCTTTCTTGTCTTGTTTTGTCCTCTGTCAGACTCGTTTTGTTTCCTAATGAATGAATATCCTCTTTGGTCAAAAAAATTATCACCCGATGGTCCTTATCATTTGCTAAATTTGCTTTTGGTTACATTCATTTGCTCAAAGTTTGAATATTATTCTATATTACCAGTGGCTAGATTGACAAGATAGCGGATAGTCTAACAGATTTTTTTTTTAAAATATGTTTACCTATATTATTGATATATGATTTTTAACGCTAAAGATATTATAAGGTCCAAAGTAAATAAATAGGTACAACAAAACATTACCTATCAAAGGACATAATAAAAAAGAATTATCGTGCACATTTAGTGAGTACTTGCCTAAGTTGAGTTTATGTTACTAAATCCTGTGTTTTAAGGTCTGTACATTTTTATTATTTTAAATTTTTTTAAAAATAAAATAAGTTGACATATATGAATTCAAAGGAAAAATTATGTCATTCAATATTTCAAAAGACTGGGATTCTTTAGAGCTTTAATACAAATTAAAGGCACAAGTCTGTACACACATAATTTACAGTGATTTTCTTAAAACTATATTTGGTTGAATGGGAGGGAGAGGGAAAAAGATAAGAGGGACTTTGATGGAAGGAGATCAGAGGGAAGGGAAAATGAAGAGTCCCTTCAAATCCCCCCAACTTAGTGGGAAATGATGGAGAAGAAAGATTAATTAAAATTTTAAAAAATTACAAATAGATCAAATGAAGTAAATTTATTTACAAATAAATTTTATAAAATTTAAAAACCACAATTAAATTTCTTGAATCCTAAGTGTAATTTGAAATTGAAACTAAAAAGATAATAACGCTTCTATTAAAATATATACATTACATCAATTAAATAATTTATAACTACTTTATCAATATTTTACAACTATAACTTTAACTTTTTACAATTGTAATTTTATATATTTAATAATTAAATTGATCAATTTAATTATTAAATATGTGAAATTACAGTTATAAAAAGTTGTAGTTATAGATATAAATTACTGATAAAGTAGTTATAAATAATTAATATTAAATTTTATTAATAACACATGAATGTTTAACTATTAAATATGTAAAATTACTGTTATAAAAAATTAAAATTATACTTGCAAATTACTATGAAATCATTGTAAAGTAACTATTTGATTGATATAATATATATTTAACAGGGATATTATTATTTTGTAATCTAATTTTAAATTATACTCAAACCTTAAAAGTTTTGATTGTGATTTTTAAATTTTACAGAATTTATTAATAAATAAGCCTGTTTTACAAGACTTTTATACGATTTTTTTTAAAACTTATTCTATCCCTGCTCCATTATATCATTGCCAAGTAAGAAGAGGAGAAATGGAGAATCCTACCTTCCATTTTCTCAACCAACGAGAGGAGGGAAAAATTTCAATTCCCTTCCCTCCAATTAATCAAAGCATAAGAAATCCACATTTGATGGGACTTACTGGAATGCACTTATCAGTTCGAAGTTTAAACCTAACTTTCAATCTTTGGGCGTGTTCTGTGAAGTCAATGAAACAAAAAGATAGAAATCCCAAACATACGTCCTATGAGAAATAAAGAAAGCAATAAAACCTACAGTACAACCTATCAAAGAGCCACAAAAACACCCCATTGATAGCCTCTTTGTCCTTTGAAGCAGTATATTGAACATAGAAGTCATCATCATCATCGTCAATATATGGAGAGCCTCCATGTACTGTGATATGAAAGCACCGATTTGGTGGAATTTTGAAGCCCCTCCATTCTTTCCGTTCAGACTATACCTTCTTCCCGTTCTTCATTCCTTTCTCTCATTGTCTGGTCGTCTTCATTTTTCAAGTTTGCTGCTCAAACTCTCCCTACCTCCATGTTCTTCTTCACCTTCTCCATATCATGGATGAGAACTCCCCTTTTGCTTTTTGGTTTTGGCAGGGAGAGAAAACTCTTGGTTTCCCTGTTCCTAAAGTGTGAGGAGGTTTCGTCAGGTTAATAGGAACAGGCGACGATGTAGAGTCAGGTTGATCGATTTTAAAGAGGAACCGTCTATGATGTGACTTTAAGCCAGGATGCCATGGTGTAGAGGGAAATAAAAGAGGGACGAAGAAACCAAACAGAAGCATATTGAATATGGATGATTGGTGAGTTGTTCTGCCTTATAAACAATTTGTAAAAATTTTTGTTCATAACTTCATCTTGCTTTAGGAACAAGCGAGAAAGCAATGCCAATTAAGGAGATCTATTATTTTGACTCTTTGAACTATTAACTGTACCTATTGAGGTTTAGGTTTCTTCAAGAACATTATCTTTTATCTATATTCTAGAACAAGTGAATGGCTTAAATTTTGTCTTCCTTGATGGGGTCATTATTTCAATTGTGGCTCTGCTTGGTTTGTTTAGTAAACAAAAGTTTGGTGCCAGTAAGTGGCTTTCCTATTTTCTCCTAATTTTACTATTAAGTGTTGGTTTTTCTAGCTCAGACTTGAAAGGATGCGTTTGTTCTAATTTCTCCTGCTAGTCCCAGCCATCTTTTTTCTCTCCATACACAATTTTCCCATCCAAATTGCTACCCATGATTCTCCAAACACTTACTACAACTGCTCAAGCAATGATACTCTCCCAATAGTGCCTGCGAATACAATGTTAAGACTCTATTTGATTGGCTCTCCTCTAATGGGTCTACAAGTGCCAGATTCTACAACACCACAGTTGCCGGTAAAAAGACTGATGATACTGTCTACGGCATTTTTCACTGTCACCCACGCATTAGCATAAAGACATGTCAAGAGTGTGTGATGGAAGCAGCCAAGTTAATATTTAACACTGTGTCTAATAGCAAAAGAAGCTATAGTTTGGCATAATGTATGCTTTGTGCACTACTCCAATAGGTATTTCTTTTCTACAATAGAATGAAGTCCTAAAATCTCCTTCATGAATGATAAGGGCTACAAGGGCCAGGTTGGCCACTTCCATAATATACTTTGGGATATGATGGATGACTTGAGAAATAGGGCGCCCAGGGCTTCTGACAGATTGGTCTACAAGTCAGTGAACATCACTGATGACCAAAACCTATATGGCTCAGCTTGGTGTGTGCCATATCTATCTTCTGAGAACTGCAGGTGGTGTCTCAGCGATGCCATTGCCGAAATTCCAACCTTCTGTTGTAGAGGGAAAACTGGGGGAAGAGTTATCTATCCCAGTTGTGGTGTCAGATATGAATTATATCCATTCCTCAATACATCAACCTGGGACGCAGAGCAAACACCAGCTCATTCTCCGACCTCAACTCTAGCAGGTTTTGCATTTCAGTCATCATTTACTGCTTTTATATACTATAATGATCCTTAAACGACCATATAGAACATAGGAGGGATAACATAAAGTCAAAAGTATCAGATTAAATAGATAATGCTATTCCATGTCAACTCAAATATCTGCAGGACTACTATCTGACAACAAAGTTACTGCTATTCCTTCTGCAAGAAATCAATTACTTCAATGAAATGAGACTTGAAGTTGCAAAAGCCTCTGTCCATCTAGACGCATGACATAAAAATAACATTCTAAACATAATTTGGATTGAAGGAAACGAACATAAATGAGAGGTAAAAGAATGACATTCTCATTTGCAAGATTTATAGAGAGGATAGGGGCAACCAGAGAAAGCAATCCCTAAATAAAGAAAAGGTGGCATTATTCTTTTCCTACTATGTATCACATGGCGGAAGGTAGCTTTCCAATTTTTTTAATAGAAATAACAAGAAACTGGAAACGACACGTAAATTGTCTATATAAACATCATGCACATTACAGTATTGTCTATATAAATTAAATATATTACTTCTTTAATGCTCTATTTTCTTCTTTTTTATCATTCAAGAGACTAATAGCTCAAAGGTTGATGTTACCATCAATTAATATTCTAGATATTTCTTGTATTGCTGCAAAATTATAATATAATAATTTTCATTACTACATAATTGAAAGAAGCTACTGATATTCATGCAGGAAATAGAAAACAGAAGATACTGACTATGATCGCGGTTCTTATTTCAATTGTTATTTTCATAGCACTTTTATCTTTGGGCTGCTTCTGTTTCCTACGAAGAAGACAAAGAAAAACTCAAAAGGATATTCTCAGAGAAAGCTGTAATGAATGGGGAAAAGCTATTTTACTTCAATATTTTCTAGCTTAGAGAAGCATTTACACATTAGCCAAATATCTTACAGAATTTAAATATGTTTTGTATAGTTGAGAAAGACATTACAACTTTAGATGTTCCAATGCTATTTGATTTAGCCAAAATTGAAGCTGCAACTAAGAGGTTCTCTAAAGAAAACAAAATAGGCAAAGGCAGATTTGGGGAAGTTTATAAGGTGAATATATTAGTAACATGTCTCCACCAAATTAGTTGCCACCACCAGATCAGTTGCCAAGTCAGATGTATGAAGATATTTCACGTGTGCAGGGTGAAGCAAGCGTCTTACGAAGAAGCAATCGCCCAAGGAAGGTCACGTGGAAAGTAAGAGAGAATGCACATGCATGAGTTAGTTATATGTATCAGTGAAGGGATTCGGGAGGGGTGTGGATTTTATGATTTTAGTTATCTCTCCTTTCTGTTAACCTCTCTCTCTAGTCTCTCTCTCTGATGTATTTCCACTTCTTGCTGTCTTTCTGTGACTGAACTTACTTTTGTCAATAATACTTGCGCTATTTATTGCTCACCATTTCATTGTTATTAGTTGCTGTTGTTGAGAACGTGACAGTAAGGTGTTTTTATTGAGAGACGCAACACTGAAATGGCTGAAAATACAAGGATGAAGGAATTGTTAGGGGATATTAGAGGGTTGCATGAAGATATGCAGAGCGTGTGCGAGATGATTGACCAGATAGGTGAGGTGAACGATTCTAGGCTCGATCGTCTTAAGGCTACGGTCGGGGACCTTCTTCGAGCGTCAGATCCAAAAATCAGCAAATTGGAAAATGCCATGGAAGTACTTATTCGAGCTTTGAACCCGAAGCTGGATA